TGTGTGGCCACAAGATTACGGTTTGTGTCTTGCAGGGGCCCTACATTGCCTGGTGCCCTCTTCTTGCTCCCAGTGTACTTGAAAAAGGACTTTTTGTTGCCCTTAATCTTGGATGCTAGCTCTACCTTGCCCTTCCTAATAGCCCTCCTACACTCATGGGCCGAGGAGGAGTGTCTCTCCTTGGTGATATGCCTTTGCTGAGCCAAGGGGGTTTATGAGCACTCTTACTCTCCTTGCTTCTCTCAGGGACTGTTATCCTTTGGGCCTGGAGGATTGCCCCCTTAAGGTACGATCATCCCTTGTGGTCTCCCATCTCCTCTACCTTCTGGACCCTTATTGCCCTTATTGAAGTTGGCCCTTCTGAAGTCAAGGGCTTTAGCCTTGGTGTGAGCCCTAGATGCCCTGCATTGGATAATGAAATCCAGCAGATGATGATCGCTATTGCCCAGGTGGTCAAGGACCTGTAGTCCCCTCACCAGGTCATCTCCCGTGGCCAGGACCAGGTCCAGCAAAGCATTACCCCTAGTGGGGCTGTGCACTTCCTGGATAAGGTGAGGGTCCTGTAATACAGCCAGGAACCTACGCGAGCGGTCAGACCTGGCTGTCTGCTCCTTCCAGCAAATGTCTGGGTAGTTTAGGTCACCCATGACAATAACATCCCTTGACCTAACCGCCTCCATAAGCTGAATGGAGAAGTCATGGTCTAGCTCTTCCCCCTGGTTGGGTGGTCTGTAGTAGACACCCACCATAAGGTCCCTTTCACCATGCCCCCCTTGTAGTTTGACCCATAGTGTCTCTGCCCAACCCTCCTCTAACCCAAAGCTAATCTTTGATGATGTGACATAGAGCACAACCCCCCCACCTTTCCTCTCTGTCCTGTCTCTTCTATATAGGATGTACCCCCGAGTGCCTGCTGCCCAGTCATAGGTAGAGTCCCATCAGGTTTCTGCGAGCCCTACTAAGTCTGGGTTCTTACTCGCAATCAGGAGGGACAGTTCCTCCTGCTTACACCCCATACTACAAGCATTAGTGTAGAGGCACCTGAGGCCTCCTGAGGGTACACGTGCCTTCCTCCCACTCTGAGGACAGTTGTGGCCCCCTGCTTCCTGGACGTTGATGCTTACCTGGGCTTCCCTTCCTCTTGTCACCCTGCGTGCTGGTGAAGCATCCTTTCCACTTGAAGTGGCCCCTTCCCCCAGTGAAGCTAGTTTAAAGCCCGCCGTACAAGATCAGCCAACCTAGAGGAAAAGATACATCTGCCCTTAGGGGAGAGGTGAAGCCCATCCCACCCCAGCATGCCCTCCTTTCAAAAACATGGGTCGTTGTCAAAAAACCCAAAGCCTGCCTCGTGGCACCAGCTCCAAAGCCGCCGGTTAACCACGTCAATGCAGGCCTCACGATGCCTACCCTGTCCACTTACCGGGAGAATGGAGGAAAATACCACCTGGGCCCCCGTCTTCTTCATTTGGTGTCCCAAGGCCTTATAGTCCTCCATGATGTTATCTGGCTTGCCCTTGGATGCAGCATTTGTACCCACATGGACCACACCAGTGGGTAGTAGTCAGAGGGCTTGATGATTTTAGGGGATGGTCTCTGTGACGATACGAATCCTCGCTCCAGGCATGCTGCAGACCTGCCATGACCAGGGCTCCGGGCGACAGATTGGACCATCAGTTCCCCTCAGGATGGAGTCCCTGATGACCAGAACTTTGCATCTCCTTCTCAGGGTATGCCTCTTCTGAGCCGGTGATGTGGGTCGAGCAGCTTCAATTCCTCTGGGGACCTGTTCTTCTGCCTCCTCCTCCAGGGGAGCCAGGGCCGCATACCTGTTCCCGAGGGGTGTCTGGGGAGCAGGCACAGCAGTTGTACGAACCGCCCTGGCCTTGACAGGAACCTGCTGCCACCGATTAGTTGGCTCTGTGCACGCGGGGTCTCTCCGGTGGATTCCTGTCCCTGCAGAGAATAGAAATACAGATAAATTTCATCCTCCACTGCCTGGATCCCCTGCAGCATGCTCACCTCGGCCTGGAGCTCTGCCACCTGCCCCTCTAGAGCCTGAAGATGCTCACAAGAGGGGCACAAGATGCTCTCACAGCAGTGGCACCTAGTCCCTCTGGCTCTGCCACCAGAGCACTGGCAGCAGCTGGTGCACTCTTAGCAATGATGGTAGCAGTGGCTGTTCCCACCAGGATTGCCACCTCTGGAGCAAAAGCAACAGGTGATCTGGGCTTTTTGATAGCTTGTCATGATGGGCTGTCAGGTAGCCATCCATTGTCCCTCCCTCCCATTTGGAGGAGGGGAAAGGTAGAGTGGAGAACTGCTGGATGCTGGGAAGGTTTGGGAGACCACCTGTAGCAACACATGTAAATAGACATTCATTACACGTGGCACTACAAAACTCCAGTACAAAAAAGTTTCTCTTCAAAAGAAGAACGTTTTAGTGGCAGATCTATCAGTTTTGTTGTGCTACAGACAGTGTGCATACCTGTATGCTAGCTTTCATAGCACTATGAAGGCATCAGTACTGCTACAAATGTAAAGCTTGTCCAGGGCCTAAGGCTGGTGTTAATGAGAATCAGCATCATAGCATTATTTGCTGTCTGACTCTCAGCAGAAGTGATTTTGCTAACACTGCTTTCATTTCTTTTAAAACTAGAACGAGATGCCTTTGACACTTTGTTTGATCATGCTCCGGACAAACTCAACGTAGTGAAAAAGGTAAAAGATTTTCTATAGTTTCATAGTAGCTAGGGTCAGGAGGGACCTGAACAGATCATCTAGCCTGACCCCCT